AACATAATACTGCATGAGAATGGGGTCGGGCATTCTGAACACAAGTCATAAATCCAAAATGCAACACAACCCTAAACTTTGTGACAAGTGGAAAATTCCACACCTGAGATTAGATGATGGCTAACAGTCAAAACAGAGGAGCACAAGCTGACTGCATCCCACCTCTAAGATCTCATTATGTATCAATTATCTCAACACCTAAAAATCGCCCAAAATTAAAAACACTTCTGGCCCAAGCAATTAGGATAAAGTATGTTCAACCTGTACATTTTACTAACTAAAAGAAAACATGCCACCTATTTCTCTCCAGGGAGTGAGTACAATATGGAGAATAACACGGCTGAACACACCTCCCTTGTTTTACCCCTAATTCTTCATCCTTTTGCAGCCCCTCTTACATGCCCATTGGCCAGTGGGATTTTTTCTGTCAGGTCCACACCATCAGCGTAAGCTTGGAGTAGGCCAAAAATGTCTCTAGTCTTGACGGCCTCACAAAGGCTGTGGAGCTTCGCCGAGGTGTCTGCGTGCTTTTTCCTTGCATATCTCCTCTCGATGTACTTGGCTGTGATGTAGTCCTTCCTTGCAATCCTGAAACCAGACAGAACTGATGAGTGAAACACAGAGGCTTCTGTCCATCCATCTAGCCCATCATCTACAACACTGCCCGGCCCTCGTGGGGTCCTGCGGGCTCTTTCTTTAAACCCACACAGCAGTCCTGGGTGTGAATCACCCAGTTATAAGGACAGAAGCCAAGTGTGTGGCTTCTTCACATTCTCTCGGCCATCTGCTGCTGTCCCCTTCTGTAACCCTGAGCTCTCAGCTCAGCATGCTGTGGTCCCTGCACCTAACCCGTGTCTTTGCCTCTCTTGTACCACCATATCAGACTCGCTGGTTTTTGTTTTTTAAATGGATGTTTATCTCTCTGGGCTCTGAGCCCCCTGAAGGTGGTTCCAACCCAAACATGGGACAGATTTCTGTGACACTCTGTGACCCCTGGTTGCATCGAGATAAGGCTGTGCCATTAGCATGTTTTGACTTTTTTTTTAATGTATAGACTGAGATGGGTGGTGGATAGTAACAGAATACCACAAACCAAATTATCTGGTGTTGCTGGGGGTGGTGGGGGTGGGAAGTGCGGGTGGGAAGTGGGGGTGGGGCTTCTTGCTGTTTCTCAAAAACAGAAACACTTTGCCTCTAAGAGCAGATAAAATCTGGCCTCTGGGTGGCCCAGTCACAAAGCTTTTCATCTCCACACCCAACTGGGGGTTCACAGGCCATTAGCGGGTACCTTTAGTTTCCCCTTCAGCATGTGGTTGAAGATGGTGTGTGCTTACATCAAGCTACAAGCCATGCACTCTATCAAATCTAGAAATAGAATATCTACTGAATGAAGCTGGCACAGAGCAAGGGCTATTTCTCTGATTTATTGAGCCATTAAATATTTACCGAACCACTACAAGCAGCCTACTGTGGTGGCAAATACAAAAAGGAGTGAAATGTAATTTCTCAGAGCAGTAGGTGGAAAACCAAGTCCACTGTAAAGTGTGGTGGAATGTTACAAGAAAGAGCCAGCTGCTGGAGGCACACTAAGAGCCATACAATTAACTTTTTCTTTTATTTGGGTGGGGGAGGGTGTGTCAGATTAAAGGCCTCACTATATTGCCCATACTAGACTTGAACTCACGATGTAGCCCAGGTTAGCCTAGAACTCACTGTATAGTCAGGGCTAGCCTCATAATCCTCCTGCCTCAACCTTGCCATTGCAGGAATTACAGTCATGTACCACCATGGCTGGTCACACAGTTTATCTCGCCTGCAGAAGAACAACTGTGAGTGTGTTTTCATCTCTGTAATAGCTATCAGCATCATTTCAGAGGAAATAAAGTGTAAACTTCCTTGTGAGAAGTGTTTTGTATGTTTGTGTGTGTGTGTGTGTGTGTGTGTGTGTGTGTGTGTGTGGTGTGTTTCACAGTGGACAGAGCACGGATGCTGAGAAGTGGTATTCATTATTAGGGTCATTTACCCCTAGAATAAAAAGATGCCTGGCTTTCATAAGGAATCCTGGCAGCTTTTAAAAAAAGATTTATCTATTTTTATGCGTATGAATATTTTGTCTGCATGTATGTATGTGTACCACATATACTTCCTGGTACCCTCAGAGGCCAGAAAGAAGGCATTCTGTTCTCAAGAACTGGAGTTCTGACTCATTGAAGCCACCATGTCGACGCTGAGACCCAAACCAGGTCTTCTGCAAGAGCAGCAAGTGTTCTTAACAGCTGAGCCACCTCTCCAGCCTCTACTCCTGTTATGTGAAAGTATATTACTATACTCTGTTTAAAGTTGACTGGCATTTCAGCATTCCAGGAGACTGTGGCCAACGACAAACAACCAGAAAGACAGCATCAAGCATCAGCTATCACTCAACTCACCATGCTGGACCACGACATTTCCTTTTCTAAATGGGGTCCTCCCGCTATCCAGGAAGGTACTGTGCGCCCATGGGTCCCAAGAGAAGAGTAAGGATCTTCATTTATCAACAGATAGTCAGCCGCTGGGGCACTTGCTTAGACTCTTGTTGCCAAAACCATTCACAACCCAGCTGACTGCAAACCATCTTTCTAATTTCCCCAATACTCTCTCCCTTTTTATTAGAGAAATGGAGGCTTAGACTTAAACCATAAAGAACCTGCCCCACCTGATGGCCTGGAAAGTGACAGGAATCCAGGGTCTCCAGGTCAGATGTGAAATTAACATCTTCATATGGAGAAGACCATGTTTACAACTGTGTTATCCAATCTCTGGGAGGCACCGAGTCACAAATGCTCACTTAGGACAGGATGCAAACATAAACCACCTGTAACCTAACACCCGAAAGTGGCTGGTCTAAGACACTTTGTGCCCAAGACAGCCAATGACTGACAAGTCTTCTACTTGCCTTCTAGATGTTTCTGTGTCCTCAGTGGGTCAGAGTGCGAGACATCAACACAGACTGCACTTCTGCCGCCTTGGTTTCCCATAGCTAAAGTTATCACTTGTTTTCATTTTGATATTTTTTTTTCCTTTTTAGTCATTTTTGTGTGTCCAAATAGACATGTGGTATGGCTGGTTTTGTTAGCAAGTAGCAGCTACAAAGAGCTAAGTGTTCTGCTGTACACAGGCCCTATACTCATGCCCACCTGTAAAACCGCTCTTAAAGACACTGCCCCGTCACTCGATGTCCTGTAGGAGAACCCAGACCACTAACTCGATTTCAAGCCTATGCCAGTGAAATATAATTTGTTTTATAGACTACACAACTTTCCCTTATCCCCCCTTGCCGTCACACTGCTTAAACACGGATGGGAGACCTAGCCTCTTCTTCTTCCTTCTACCTCACCTTGCACCATACTCTAGCAGATGTGCCACGCCAGGCCCTCCTGTTAGCAAGCAGGCCATTTTAAGAAACAGGAATGATGTCTAGGGGCAGGATGGCATTGCCCTGTCTACCTCCTCAAGCCCAGGGTGTTTGAATAAGACTCTGACAAAACTGGTTATCAACCCCTACTGTATATGGTCTGCCAAAGGACCAGCTGGGATCTCAGTGAGGCAGGCACACCAGCTTCTCGGTCACAGTATCAACAGTAATACACACGCAAAGGTTTTCTGGAGGAGACAACAAGTCGTACATCTCGAAAGAGAGTGACAAAGAGACTGGTGCATGGCGACGTGTCTGTGATGACTAGGTAAAATTCACCATTATAATGAGATATCTTTATTTAAGTAATACCGGCCAAGCACAAGACAGAGCCTTCCCAGAGGCAGCAAGCTAGGGAGTCCAGAGAGAAGGGGCTCTCCACGTATCTGTGGCCCCTTAAGAACTGCGCCCCCCCCAGTCATCCTGCCCTCATGGGCATGGCCAGACACACCTGTAGGGGCTCCTAGGAGGTGGGGCTACCGTGTCTCCCTACACACCATGATGGGAGAGTGGGCAGAGACAGAACATTGGTAAGGGGTGCAGGGGCACAGTGAGCAAGACTCACTGCAGTGCCCTTCTCTCACTCAGCTAAAGAGCCTACTGTCCTTTGGCCACTTGCTAACAAAACCAGCCATACCACGTGTCTATTTGGACACACAAAAATGACTAAAAAGGAAAAAAAATATCAAAATGAAAACAAGTGACAACTTTAGCTATGGGGAAGCAACAACTGATGTAACCCTAGATCCCTTTGTTCAGCAAATGAGACCTCGTACTCACATGTCACTGCCTGGGTTGGGTTTGACAGAGTCCTCAGACGGTAGGCAACACTCCATGATCTCATTAAAGCCTGCATTCCCAATATTCTTGGCAAGCTGCAAAAACAGAAGCCAATTTTAGGGCACTCAATTATTAATACCCTCTGCTGCTGCCCGTTCCCAACATCTGATGATTTGTTTAATGGCCACTGAGAAATAGAGCGGCAAAGTGGTTTGCTTTTAATGAAAAGGCACAAAACCCAGAGAGCCCCAAGGGTACAGCACGCATGACCAGCAGAGGATGCTGCGGGAAAATGGACCGAGTCACCACAGTCTCTCCAACCTCAGAAATTCATTCTGCCACAGCCTCCTTCACAGCAGCTGTGAGGTGTAGTGTCACAGAGGTACACGGGGCCAGCAATACAAAACCCAGGTTCAGCTGGGAGAGTCAGTTGTATCCATGGAAGCAGGGAGTGGGGTAGGAGCACGACACATGACAATTAACTCACAGGGTTGTAAAAATGACAAAAGGTGATAGTTTTGGTGAAAATCTTCAGCAAACTGAAACACTGTGATGTCATGTGTGACCTCCAGACATAAGTCTTCTGACTTTTCTTTTTGAAACAGAGTTTCTCTGTGTAGCCCTGACTGTCTAGAACTCACTCTGTAGACCATGCAGGTCTTGAACTCACAGATCCACCTGCCTCTGTCTCCTGGGTGCTGGGATTAAAGTCATGCACCATTATCACCTGGCATCTTCTGACTTTTCAATACTCAAGTCATACCTTCTCGTGTAATATTCACTAAGTACCGTTGTGCTGGGCACAGCCATGATACCTTGAAAGCATGGCAATTGGCATTTACTGGATGAAGGACCGTATGGCTAGGAGCTCCTTCACAGTGGGGGTGTCACTACCGCATTCCTAGCGACAAACTCAGTGCCCACCCTTAAAATGAGCTTCCAGGTCTGATTCCTGCCACTACCGCTGCGTCCTGGCCCACAAATCAGATTTTTAAACATGTCATGAAACAGTACGGGCAGGGTACAGCTAAACAGATTATTTAATTTCTTCATTGAAAACAACACAGTGAATGAGTCAACGACACTTAATACTTCTCAGGTCAATTGCCTGTGCAGACAAAGGTAGAAGGAGATGCTCTGGAGGTGAGAGTGGCTCCTGTCGGAAGGGTCTGCTCTGTCCTTAGGGGGCATTAGCTTAAGTTTGGATCCAAAGCAATTTCTGAGTTAGACTGTAGGGACACCCTGGCATGGATTCACATTTGATTGACGTGGTAAAGGCAGTGATGGAATATAGGCAGCTTGTCCTTCGAGTAGTAAGCCTCCCTAGTTTTATATTGTCCCTGATCAGTGAGCCAAGCACATTCACTATCTGCACCTCCCTGCTTAGACCTGACTCCAGGGCCTCAAGCTGAGGTAAGAGGGCAAAATCTGGGCAGCTAGATTGATGTTCCTGCACACAAGACACTCAGAGAAAACAGCGAGGGCGGCACAACCCTTCCAATGACAAGAAACACAGATCATGAGATAAATGCCCTGCAAAGGATTTCTTGTGCAGCTAGTGTTAGACCCGAAACTAAACATCAATAATGGAGCTCCTGGTGTAGACAGCTTAATTGCGTTGGTACCCTATCATATGCATAATGTGGGCACCGTCCTCTACCTGAGCTTAATCATTTAAAAAAAAAAAAAAAAAAAAAAAAAAAAAGGGAAAAAGCCACAACTGTCTCCCGTGAGTAAGAGACCACTCCACTGCCTCCTGGTCTACATTTAGTGGGTGGGAGATGGGGGGAGAGAATTTACCAGGAATCAGAAAGCTTCCCTTCTGCCTGGATCTGGCTTAGCCAGGACAGCTAGACCAGAGAGCCACCACATCCAATGACACACACACACACACACACACACACACACACACACACACATATATTCAGAGAGATAGAGGGCCTTGAGACGCTGCAACAGGTGCCTCACTTCATTAGAGGGGATATGGGTGAGTTTGTATTTGGGGTTTCTTTTAGAAATTCAAAAAATTTCTTTTTTCTTGTCTTTTTTTTTTTTTTTAATGTTTGGCTAGCTACTAAAGCCACATGAACCTCTGTACTTTTTCAAAATGTCATTTGATTTTTTATTTTATGCACATTAGTGTTTTGCCATGGGTGTCAGTTCCCCTGGAAATGGAGTTACAGACAGTTGTGAGCTGCCATATGGGTGCTGGGAATTGAACCCAGGCCCTCTGGAACAACAGCACTCAGTGGTCTTAACCCCTGAGCCACATCTCCAGCCCCTAAAATTTATTTTAAATACTGTTTTTAGATTTACTTTTTTATGTGTATGAAGGTTTTGTCTGCATGTGTGTATATATGCACCACATATATACAATGATGATGGAGTTCAGAAGAGGGGATCAGATCCCCCAGAACTAGAGTGACAGATGATTGTGAGTTGCTGTGTGGGTGCTAGGAACCAAACCCAGGTAACTTGCAAGAGCAACAAGTGCTCTTCAACACTGAGCTGTCCCTCCAGCACCTATTTTAAATCATTTTGACTTGAGGTTGGTTGGATATGTAGATAGTAAACCCACTGATACAGAGATCAACAGAGCATCACTTAAGACAGTGAAACTGAAGCCCCATCCCTCACCCTTCAAGCTGCTTCATGATACAGAGTGTCATGTAACTGAGCTCCTCAGCTGTGTTGGGCACTGGGCATAAGCAGCAATGTTGTTCTCTACTAGCTCAGCCAACACCTGAGACAAATTAATAAAATGATGATGATGATGATGATGATGATGATGATGATAATAGATAAATAAACAGAAGCAGAAGCAGAGGGGCCAGGGACATGGCGCAGTGGGTAAAGGCGGCAACAGAAGCTCCTACGCAGCCCAGTCCAGGTAGGCAGTATGCTCATGGTCAAGACGCATGCCTGAATGTCATGCAGGTGCCCAGAATAGGGAAACGGGGCCTTTACAACCCGTTAGCAGCTGCGTAAGCAGTGCATGAAGCTACAACAAGGCCTTGGGTTTTATCCAGACACTTGTTTTAGAGTTTGGGATGGTGTGGAGCAGGGCTCCTGCTTCCTATTCCCATGGGAAGGGATATCAACTGTGGTAGATTTTTTCTACATCTCTGTCCCCACTTGAAGACAGGAATCAGAAGTGAGGGGAGCACGATTTCCCTGAGATCCCTCAGGTCCCAGAGGAGTTGTAACACCGAGGCCTGCTCCTCCTCCAGGCTTGATCTGGTCAAGCTGCCCAGTGGGATGGACTACCACACAGTTACCACACACAGGCACCACATGGCCATGTAGGCCTCTGCCAACTACAGTCTGGATCTGTTCTGGTTTGCTCACTGTTTATTCCCAACTCTGTCTCAGGAGGGTGGAGGGCCTGAAGACAGGCCATACCTCTTGACAAACACATACACGAGGGCCCAGGAACAAGGGAGAGGTGAGTAGTACAGAGTCAAGAAATGCTGGGAGAATGAACAGTTAGAGAGTAGGAACGGAGTTCACACACTTAACATCTATGTGGGCCTTGGTGTACCTTTAATATATTTGACAATATACACAGATGCTTGGGTTCTTGGTTTTACTTATAGCTAAAAACAGCTCAGTGTTGTGACTTACAAACAGCCTGTGGTATCCCAGGGCCTCACTTAGGTCAGAGAAAAAGTACCGCCCCACCCCCCCAAAAAAGCAGCAAAAACCCAAAACATCCACATCAATGCCCGGGACCTAAATGTGATGCATTGGATGGCAGCTGACTACAATTTCTCATAGCCACTGCAGTCACTACCCAGAGTGGCTTAGTTCAGCGCCTTCAAAATGCCAGCGCTGACAGCAGTCCCAGGCCTTGAGGCTGCGGCTGACTTGCCCTGGCGTCTGACAGTGCAGCAGAGAGACCTCAAGAGACAGCTAAGTCAGCTAACCAACTTCCTAGGCTTCCTGACATTCCTCCAGCATGACGGAAGGCTTTGCAACTCAATTTCCTTTATTCTGTTCAGAGTCTCACTCCGTAGCCCAGGCTGGGCTGGGACAGGCGCTGTGTAGCACAGGCTGGGCTCAAGGCCACAGTAATCCTCCTGCTTCAGCCTCCACAGTTGAGCTCACAGGCCTGAGCCACCATGTCCCACTCTAAGTTAAATTTCAAAACACTGAAGTTTTCTTTAACTTAACACATGATAGTGAAATAGATCACATGATACCAGGTACTTTAGTAGGTAATATGGTTTTTCAGATGACCCCCCACTCTTCCCAAAAGCTTCTTAAAATGTTCTTCAAAGTTAAGCAGAAATTTCACCTCTTTAAAATCCAGGCTTGCCAGGGGTCTCTGAAACCAGGTCCACTGAAGCACTATGGCAGTGGTTGGTTCTCAACCTTACTGATGCTGAGACGCTTTAGTGGTGACTCCCCAACCATAACATTATTTTTGTCGTTACTTCACAACTGTAACTTTGCTACCATTATGAATCATAATATAAATATCTGTGTTTTCCAATGGTCTTGGGCAACCCCTGTGAAAGGGTCATTCGGACCCCAAAGGGGTTAAGACCCACAGGCTGAGAACCACTGCTCTAAGCCTACTAGAGGATGGAATGCACAACTTCCCCAAAGAATCAAACGAACCCTTCAACTGCCTGTGCTCCCTTTCAGTAAGCAAGAGTGATTTTAAATGCAGGTAGCAGAGGTAGTTACTGTCCACATCCGTCCACCTTCTCAGATGCTTCCCAATCCAGCAGGTCAATGTGGAAAGTGTGCTTTCAAACAACAGCAAATTAAAATAGAGAACAGCCAGGGCACAGGGGCAGGCAAACTTTGCAAACCAGGTAATAATCCACAGAACTGAGCAAGGAGAGGAAAATGCTAAAGTCATGTTGGAGGACAGGAGTGGTGAGTATTCATCTTTTATTCAAAACACAATGCCAAAGGGACAATGAAAATGCATTTAGGTCCCACTCCTGGGCTGGCTGTCTCTTTCAGGTCATTTAAAGTCTCCACTCGCCAACAAAAGCAAAAATGGAAAACTGGAACTGCTCTGCAAAAATAACTGAAGGGGGGAAAAAAAAATAACTGAAGGGCCGCCTATGGAATGAGTGAAGTACCTGAGTCGTCGTTCTGATACGGAACAGAATCAAAAAAATGTAACGAGCTTGAATAACTTGACAGAGTGAACACAGACAGTCCTGACTCAAGGACAAAGGAAACAGCAACCGGACACAAGACTAACGCCCAGCAACGCCAACCGCAGCAACACGCGAGTGACAGACACATCCCCTCATACCGAGAGGTTGCCAAAAGCTGCATCGAGGATGAGAAAGAAGACAACCCTGGTTTTGAATACCATTGGTTTGAATTTATGGAGGCTTCTTTACAAAAAATAGAAGTACGCTGGAGAGATGGCTTGGCAGTTAAAGAGTACACACTGCTGTTACAGGGGACCCACCTTTCATTCCCAGCATCCACCTCAGGTATCTCACAGTCACCTGTACCTCCAGCTCATGGGTACCTGGTATCGTCTTCTGAGGCATCTCTCCAGGCCCACGTTTTGAGAGACATTTAATTAATCAATGTTGGAGCAGAGCTCTAACCAGCTCTTGAAAGCTAATTACTAGATGCCTAGAATTCTGAGAGACAGCCATTAAACATTGCTACTGTTAAAAATTATACTATGTAAACACATGATAAATCATGTCAACAACTACGACACTTGCTATTCAGGACTCATTATCTTGCTGAGCATGTCGGTGAGTACCTAAATTCTAAGCACACAGGGATCTGAGGAAGAAGAGGGGGGACAGCCTGGGCTACACAGTGAGACCCTTCCCCCCAACCCAAATAAAACAAATCCCATCATTCCTAAATTTCACTACATTTCACCATCATCAGTGTCTTGAGTCGCTTATATATATGATGAATGTATGCTTGAACACTTGGGTTTCTGAACATCCTTTGCCAGCCCCACAGTCAGTAATTCATAAGAATAGTTCAAAACTGGTGACAATTGCATTTACACCAGGGAAATAGGCAGGCTTTGATCAAGGGCTCTTCGCTCCTCAGAGTTGACTGTTAAACACTTGTTGGGGATGGGTTCTGGGGAGGGGCAGATGAAATACTCACATGCTTCCCACATGACCAGAAAACCCACCATAAACGACAGTTTGTATCCCAGGAGTCTCAGGGGTATGAGCTAAGAAAGATTAAAGGGAGCCTCATTTTGAGTGTGTTAACTTAATGCGTGTAGAGCCTGGGTACATTAATGTATTGTAAGCAACCCCCACGCCCTGCGTGAAGTGGGAGAGCCTACAGCAAGGATGTTGAGATACAGATGAGTTAACACATAACACATTATCTCACTATACATCATTTGACATGTTCCCCTGTTGTAAGCTAACTAGTGGAAGTAGAAATTGCTACAGTCCATCAGTGCTTGCCGAAGAAATACAGTTTCCTTAAGAACTTAGTGTGGCCATTTAAGAACTAAGCCCTAATCAGTCTCCCCAGAGATGCTGCACATTCATACACCTCCAAGATGTAGGCCACATGCCCTTATATGGCAGCGGGGACTATATACATAACCAAGAGCACTGTGGGATGTGCTGAGTCTGCCTCATTTATAAGGTGGAAGTAACCGAGGATGGTGCTGTCTGAGACCCACACTTGCTTTTCCTCACTCTTGTCTTCCAAGATCAAACAAGGAATTCCTTGGAATGACAGGGCAGTTTCCCCAAGACAACCAGAAGCACCAGGAGTCTATATAGATACATCGGATTTGGAGCTGTCAAGAAGATTTATGGCCCCGTGAGAGGAATACTACTTACCATGTGAACTGATGTTCTGTCAAGATGATTGCTCTTGACAGTAAAATCAATGCTAATCAATACCCACTTACTACTAACTACCCAATGCCCAGTCATCTCAAGAAAGGATTTCAAGCACTGCTTTCCAAAGACAAACTGTAGATTCTGAAGCAGTCCCAAAACCTGTGTAGGTATGCAACTGGCCCCAAGATTCAGTCAAGGCTGTAATGTCAAATACCAAAAGGTATTTCTAAAAATATGCTACCATCTCCCCAGCTCTCATCGCAAAACATCCACATCACCAGTGAGCCATGATGGAAAGTATATTTTAGAAAACTGAGTGGCAGAAACAGAAGCCAGTAACCCCTAAGAGGAACAATAAAGAGTGGGGAGGCCAACGGGTGCTTGAACAAGAAGTGGGTACAGCCTTGTCAGAAACTAATGGATCACTTGTGGACAGTAAACTCTTTACTGCCCTTGGGCTTTGGGTTCTGTGCCTGGTTGGTGAAAGGGTGAAGGGGACCTCAGCCGCCAGTGCAGCCATGTCAGAAGACTCTTCCACCAGCCTAGGTGCTCCTCATTTGGGGTCGTTTCCATGCTCTGCATTTAGGAATAACATCCATAAGACATGCCCTTGCTCATTGGTAGCAGAGAGCGAGTCATTATCAACGAGTTTCCAAATCAAATTACCAGAAGCTCGGACGTTCCTAATACATCTAAGGTCAAGGACTGCATCCTGGAGTAATGGACCCCCAGCTCACGGTGGATTCCCGAGCACTCGATGCAAGTCAGGATGCCCAGGTTGGTGGAGAGCCACGTTGGATCTGCCAAACAGAAGAGATCCTCATGAACCAGACATTAGACAATAGGAAGCAGAAGTTTCTCCCTATCCGGCTGCTGAACACAAAGCTTTGAGTGTGAGCATTTTCCTTTGATAAAGCTGGTACTCTGGTCATTTAAAAATCACACCAAACCCACAAGTAATGACAAGGTGTTATTTCTTCTCCTCTCAACTCTATCCTTCCACACACTTAAGGAACCACAAGGGCTAGTCCTGCAGCACTTGCCCCAGTTCCACATGACTGCTTACAACCGTCCGCAATTCCAATTCCAGAGGATCTTGTGCCCTCTTCTGGCCTCTATGGGCATTACACACATGTGGTGCACATAAACTAATCCAGACTCACACACACAACTCCAAGTAAAATATACACATAAATCTTGAAAAAAATGTGGGCTAGGACTTTAGCTCAGTGGTATAGTGCTTACCTAACACATGTAAGGCACTAAGTTCACACACACACACACACACACACACACACACACACACACACAAACCACATACATGAACATAACAAATATACACACACACACACAGTACCCACATTAGTGAATATTACTAGTATCCATGTTTGTAGGTATCTCAGTTATTCTGTGTGCATGCTGTTTTGGGGGAACAGTGCACGTTCAGATAACACAGCACATTCCACATATTCTGTGCATTCTTGGCATTTTACAGCAGCATTTCTTGACGAAGATGCTCTAAGATTCAAGTACTTCACTGTTCTAACCCTTTCTCATGAAAGAGCACATGCAGCCCCCTGCCTCTACTCCTGCCAGGAATATATTTCCAATAGACCCAAGACCAAACAGAAACTCAGGAATACAAGAACCTAGTGGTACTTCTAACCTCTACTGTGGTTGTATTTTTTAATGCATACTGTCACAGAACTAGGTGAACAGAAAGCCACACTTCTTGGTAAACAAGCATTCATAAAAGTTACTGTGCCAATCCTGACTCCCAGCCCTCTCCTATCTTAATTAAAATGTCAATTCCTTGAGCCTTAAAGTTCTGGTTGCTAATATCCATAAAGACACTATGTGCCTTAATATGAAACCTCTGATAAATGACATCAAAATGCAAACACAGGATGTGACAGATGGTAGGGACCCGTCACTCATTTTACAGTTGTTTGACAGTCTGTGGCTCTCTTCTTGGGTCACAGAGTGTGCCTGAAAGTGACTTCAAACAGTCCCCTAGGAAGGACAGACAAGCTGCAGTAAATCCTAGGCAAAAGCCCCTGCTGTACCTTCACGGCCACTCAGACCCCGTTAAGACTGGTGACCTTCAGCTCACCCCCACTGTGCCCTTCAGTTTTCTCACTACTCAAAGAGCATTGTCATTTTTTCATCTCCACCAGGCTGTCTTTCCATGGTCCTGCCCTGGGCCCAGCAGGCAAGCATTTCCCACTCATGCAGCCTGCTTTGCTCCACACACAGTTCATTAAGCATTTGTGTAATGGGATGAGCTCAGACTGAGCCGCACCGATTTCACGTTTGAAATGACAGTTTAAAATCAATGGGCAGGTTCTATGTGTCTCTGGAATCTAACTGCCCTAGAGCCAGGGTTGGGATGGTTCTCGGATCACCTGGTGCCCCACAGTCGCAGCAGACATCATTGCCGGTCATCCTCTGCACCTCTGAGATAATCTCTTTGGTCAGCTCTTGGACAATGTTATTTTCTCCGGTGTTGTCATCGCCCTTAAACGCATTGTTCAGAGCTTCTTCCTTGCTGTTCTGCAGTACAGACATCCATCTGGACAAAGAGCCACAGCTCAGGTGTTAGCTGGGAGAGCACATCCACTCCCACCCCTGGTCCCAACCACGTCCACAGAGCATGCCCACCCTTGGTCCTGGTCCCGCCCACAGTACTCCCCAACCCATGGTCCTGGCCAGGCCCACAGCACTTACATCTGACATTCCTGTTCATCCTCTGCTTGGAAGTGGTATGTCCTGTCATCTGCACAGCAAGGAGAGACTTATTACTGCAAGGCCAAGTTAGACCTTACATCACAAATAGCATGTGCTCTCTACCATATTAATGTACAAAGCCGAGCAGGCCTTCACATCCATGTGTGCATGTGTGGGTGTGTGACTTTGTAATGCAAATTAATCAACCTGCCCATTCTAGTATAAAACATGAAGCTTCCTGGGGCTATTAATAGAAGCCAAACTTCTAAAAACTTTGACATTACAGTCATCCCCCATGACTGTTATAATTGCCTTCCCCCTCCCACTTTTTGAGGTGGGGTCTCCTGTGTAGACCAGGCTAGCTTTGAATCCACACAGATCTGCCTGCTCATGGGCAATAGGATGAAAAAAGCTGACCATGTGCCTGGCAAACAAGAGCCTTTTCCAAAAAATCGCTATCCTTAAGACATTTTCTGGCTTCCTTAGAAAAGGAGTAATACTGTATCAGAAATTCTAAGAATACGGCACTTTGAGAGTTCCATGTCACAAGCACAGCTAACCCAATAAGAGGTGGTTAAATAATGGTGTAATAGGAAGTGTCACACTGTCGAGGCTGGTGTCTCCAGTGTTTTACAAGTGACCCCTGTGTGCACAGTGAGGATACATGGGGGGACAGCTTCACTTCTGTACAATCTCAGTTAAGTCCTGATAACACGGGAGAAACCTAACTTGACAGACATTTCACAACAAAACTGGACATCAGTCTTCAAAAGACACAAAGGTCAACACAGACAAGGGAAGGCTATAAAAACTAGACCCCTGAGGGCAAAGATTAATAAAGACCTAAAATGTAACCCGAGGGCCTGGAGAGGACTGTAGGGCCAGGACAAGGACATGAGTAGGAAATTTGTGCATTCTGGATAGGATTTCACAGTACTGTGCCTGGGTCCTTCCTCAATGTGGATTTTTCTAGTAATACATACTGGCTAATTAATATCTACACACACACACACACACACACACAAACACACACAAGCTGGGTAATGGATATCCACAAACTCTAGGTATAGAATCAGTCAAAACAAGAAAGTTAAAAAGAAAGCTAAATTTGAAAAGAGAAGAAAATGAAGTCTAGCTTCTGCAAAGTAACATAGAGTGACACTCTTCTTAGTGGCACAGCAAATATCTATGATCCCCAAAGCAAGCAGGGGGTGATGAGGTGACTCAACAGTTGAGTGTTCTTGTCACCAAGACTGACAGCTTGAGTTGAACCTTTGCAACCCACATGGTGGAAGGAGAGAACCAACTCCCACAAGTGGCCTTCTGGTCTCCAAATGGACACACACACACACACACACACACACACACACACACACACACACAGACAGACAAAACGTTTTTTAAAATATAATGAGTGGGCACAGCTCTACAATAGCAGTTTTCAGTCCCTGACTTAGGAAGACTCCTATGAACTGTCTGGATGGGGGCCAAGTACCAAGAGGGGTCAAGTGGAATTTGGAGCAGAGAATTCAAGTGGTGGTTTTGGTTTTGGTTTTGGTTGTTTCTTTACAATCCTAACACCAAGGTGAGTGGAAGGACACATTTCTGTGTCCCATCTGTCACTGAAGAGAGAGGAACAGAGACAAAGAGAACTACTCAAAGTTAGATGAACACGGACCGCATCCAACTGAAGTGAGAAGAGGCCACTCTCTCCTATTCCCAGGCGGGCACGTCACCGCCGAGGCCAGCCTCCTAGGAAGAGGGCCAGAGGGGCAGGGCCCACAGCTTGAGCTGAGAGCTTGCCAAGTGGATCTCAGAGTTCTCAGGAAGCTGGGACAGAGGGCATGCCAGTGGCCTGTGCCTACATTGAGCTACTTCACAGTCAGGTTGAGTGTGGCTTGGGTTGACTGCTGGCTGATTCTGCCAGTGATGCCTGGACATTGGAGAAGTGGGAGGTTAGTTCGTATGAAAAGGTCCAAACAATGCTCTCCCTGCAGGCTCTCTGGAGATCCACCTTAAGACAGGGAGGTCTCATGAGCGTCTGCCACAGGAGAAGCATTCGGAGCAGTAGAGAGATGAGCCACCAAGGATCTCTGCACATGCTCCATCCTGCTCGGGAGACTGGCCAAGTTACCTCATAGTTCTAACCAGCACCCTTCCTGGGGTGTCTGTGTGGGCCAAGGACAATGGCTCAAGACTTGGATTTACAGAGGGGGAATTAGTCTGAGGGCATAAGACTGGACGAGTTCCCAAAGGGCTGGCTTTACAGCAGACAAATCCCCCATGAGGGGCACATTTCCACAGCCTTCTTGATCAAAATGGGGAGCCCCCTTTTGGGAGATCGAGACCACAATCTTGCAGGCAGTAGGTCAGTGTGTCAGCCTCTGAGCAGATTTCAAGCCAGCATGATCAATGAGGATAAGGGGAGGGGGTGACCCCGAGATGGCAGCTAGACTCTCCCTGCCCCATTGTGTCTCAAGGTCTGGCCTTCTGTTCATCTTTGATTTCCCAAAGACTCAACTTGGTTACACTCAAGGGCACTTGATGGCATTTGCCCTACTAGTCACGTGGCAGAGGTAGCATCACGGGGGGAGGACAGGGTGCTGAACCAGGTCCCCCCTCACCTTCTCAGGACAACAGTCATATCAGAGCTTCAGCTAGTGTATTTCTCCTGACAACTTCATGCCTCTTTACAGGAACTCAGGTCCCAGCAGCCCCACATAAAGCATTCCCACGAGATGCTGCTAGAGGAATCGGGCATTTTGAAAATCTGCTGATCTGAAACCTGGGCGGGACTGGAATTAATACTGCCCCTTGAAGACCAAGTAGAGGAAGTGAGTGAGACAGGTTTTCAGTATTACTAAGCCTCTGCCTGGCCACAGTAGCAAACAGTGCCTGCAGCCAGATTGACAGAGCAACTCATGCTGTGCCCTCTTGGAGTTACTCACAAGCATGAGATGCCACAAAGTCAACAGGGGAGGGGGGTGTGTCTTGGTGAAGTCTGTCTGAGGCATCGCTCTGGGGCATAACCAGACTCACACACTAGCCACTTCTCCCACATCCTCAGGATGCAACAATTCACACCTAGTGGGTGTTTGTGAGCGCGTGCGCGCGCGTGCACACACACACACACCCTGGTACCTGAGGAGCCCAAAACAGCTGGAGGAAGGTTCTGTAGAAACTGCTTCTGCAACTGTGGTGTTTGCTGGGGACTTACCAGTCATGCTGAAGGTGACAGCTGGGGGAGGTGCTGTACCCACCGTGGTGTGATACCAAAAGCTAAGCCAAGCTCAGACAGCTATCAAGGGAATCTTACACCTAGGGTAACAGCCAGCTTTTAACAGGCTACTTTTTTGAGAAACAAAGGACTGAAAAATCCTCTTCTCCAGCAACCAGTAGACATCTAATGACATCATCGAATTGTCTTCCTTTCACTCAAGCTTTTGTTGCTCTCTAGAGACAGGTGGTCCAGCAGGGATCACACTTTAAACTACAGTCAAGGCTCAGCATTTTACCTTGTAGATGTGATTCTGAGAGCAATGGTGCTACACACGGCTGTTCCTTCCCTTAAGACAGGGTCTTTCACTGACCTTGGGGCTACTCTAGTGGCCAGCAAACCCCAGTGATCCTCCTGTCTCTACCTGACTCAGCAGTGCTGGGGCTGTAGGCACACACATGGCCACAGCTTGACACAGCAAGCGCTCTGACCAACAGAGCAATCCCCCTAGCCCAGCACACATGACTAACAGTGCCCAGATGTTTCCCATATCACACGGCTCACCCCTCCCTGCAGCTCAATGTAGTAGGTCTGCAAAATGAAACCCGACGAGGAGCACAAGCCAGGCAGATGGTAGAGATGGCCTGGCCACACTTCTTGATTTTCTGGCTCCACACTGGCTCCAAGGGCTCAATAAAGCGGTCAGGATGGGGTGCTAAGGATGATGGACACACCTATGCCCCTCAGGCTAGAGCTTTGTGGAATCTCAACTGCTGTGTTGGACTGCTGGGAGCAGCTTTTCAGAGTGGAGACTGGTTCACCGGTCCCCCAAACTGTAATTGTGCCATGCACGTACAATGACCAAGGTCAAAACCTAATTATCATATTTTCCTTAAGACATCATGAGCCCCTTTCTTGTTTGTGGAAGGTTCTGAGTAAACATTTGCTGTAATTGCTGGTTCTGTGGCAGTTCCTATGTGTGCATCACCAAAAAAAAAAAAAAAAAAAAAAAAAAAAAAAAAAAAAAAAAACACCAGAGAGAGAGAAACAAAGGAACAAAAAGACAAATTCTGTAGTGGGGAAAATAAATTAAAAAAAGAAGGAAAAAAATCATCAAAGTTTGAGGGCTTTATTGAAGACCTAATCATTTCCATTTTAAGCATTAAAAAAAAAAAAAAAAACTCGAGCCGGGGGTTGGTGGCAAACACCTTTAATCCCAGCCCTCGGGAGGCAGAGGCAGGTGGATCTCTGTGAGTTCAAGACCAGCCTGGTCTACAAGAGCTAGTTCCAAGACAATCTCCAAAGCCACAGAGAAATTCTATCTCAACCCCCCTAACCACCCCCACCCCCAAAAAAGACTTGCAGGGCAGGGCGTTGGTGGTGCAGACCTTTAATTCCAGCACTCGGGAGGCAGAGGCAGGTGGATCTCTGTGAGTTCGAGGCCAGCCTGGTCTCCAGAGTGAGTGCCAGGACGGGCTCCAAAGCTGCACAGAGAAACCCTGTCTCATAAAACAAAACAAACAAACAAAAAAAAAACTCATTACATTTATTTATGTTCTGGGTAGAGAGGGGACTTATGTGTACTGTGGTGTGTGTGTGTGTGTGTGTGTGTGTGTGTGTGTGTTTTTATAAAAGGTGTGTGTGTGTGTGTGGGTAGGCCAGGGGACAACCTGCAGGAATACATCCACTACTTCTACCATATGGGATCCAGGAATAGAACGAGGTTGTCAGGCTTGGCAGTCAAAGGGCCTTTTACCCACTGAGCCATCTCACTGGCCTCCATTTGTGGCATTTTAAATATCACACAAATAAGTGATAAAAGTTCCAGGCAGCAAAGTCGCCGTTTGAAAAAAAAAAAAAAAAAGCAGGTGAAAGGGTGTGAGGAGAGAGGCTCATTTAATACAATCTGTCTGTTTACCAGTAGGGGAGCTGAGGCGCAGGGTGGAGAGGGTGGCTCTCAGTTTACAGAGCAGATGGAGCAGGGCTCTCTTCAAAGGCCAATCCTAACCCAAAGTCCTGGCAAGCCACCAGTCACCACTAGAAGCCCACGAAGCAGGTCACAAGAAACAGGGGCTCACCATGTACCATAGACGGGCCTCAAACTCATAATCCTCCTGCCTCGACCACCTTAAGACCATGTCCTCAAAAGTCTGATTCTCCTGGAACATGTAAAATAAGCATTGCATGGTCTAAGAAGGAACCTTACGTGAGATGAGGTCGAAACATTTCTTCTCCTCGGGGTTGGTTTTCACCTGGCACGTTAACAGGTTGAGTTTGGCAGGTGGCCGGTTGGCCTGTTTAAAAACAAACAAAAAACACATGAGTCGGGAATAGGAGATGATCAAGAGAAGAAGACCTCTTACTGGTTTGCAGAAGGTTTTCAGGGACAGGACACATGGGAATGCTAGGGCTTCCTTGGGTGGCTGCCCTCTCTGCCAGGGCACACACAGAGGTCTATCCACCCCATCAAGACAAGGGCAAGAGCAGAACCATGCTCCAGGGCTAAAAGACTGAAACATCGGGTTCTGATCCCTCCAGGTGACACAGTGGGGTGACTGGGCTTGAGCTTCTCAAAGTGTTTTTCCTAAGTGGAAACCTTACTTCCAGGAAAAGTCACTCAGCAGATGCACATACAAGAACGTGTCTTAGTGGGCCTGACCAAGAGAGAGCACACAGACCCTAATCATAAAGCTGGGGAGCCAGCACTGGATCGAACCAAGCCCTCTGAATTGGGTGTTACTTAGGAGGCCTGGGCAGTCTATGGGACCTTTGACAGCAAAACCAGTGTTTATCCCCAGTGCACAAATGGACTTTGGGAGCCCATTCCCCAAGGAGGGATACTCTCTCAGCCCAGATACATGGAGGAGGGTCTAGGCTCTCCCCCAAATGATGTGACAGACTTTGATGATTCCCCCATGGAAGGCCTCACTGTCCTTGGGGATTGGATGGGGGGGTGAGATGAGGGGAGGTGGGGGAATGGGAGGGAGAGGGAACTGGGATTGATATGTAAAATATGATTATTTCTAAACTAAAAAAAAAAAAGGTGTGTCTTTCTGTCTGTCTATCGGTCTTTAACTATCTAAAATGAGAGCAGGCAACTATCTACATGCTAACCATCAGGCTATGTCACCTGTTTCACAAAACACATTCCACATTCAAAAGCTCACAAAATGTTTTATTGGTTTCAAAGGGCAGAGGGGAGGGGACTGGAGAGAGTACTCAGCTGTCAGAACTCTCACAGGGGACCTCAGATCAGTTCCCATCACCCATGGTGGGTGGCTCATAATGTAACTCCAGCTCCAGGGGATCTTTTACCATCTTCTGGCCTCCATGGGAACCAGGCACACACATTGCACCTAACATACATGCAGTCAAAATATCCATACACATAAAACAAATATTTTTAAGTCTTAGACTTCAACTATTCTCACTTCCTGCTAGCTCTCCTTGGCCACTAGGTGCTTTAAGACATATGATTCAAATTTGGGATTAATCCAGGGACATGTCTGTACCTATAATGGAGCAGGCCTGGCAAATGCTTCTTCTGCACTCAGACCTGGGTGTTCTTGCTACTAACTTTAAAGGACTGGGTGTGGGGGTGGGTAGGCGCCATTAAAATGGGATAGATTCATTCAGCTTGTGAAATCTGATGAGACGAGAGATCTGAAGTCTGAAAATACAAACTACATGAACGGGTTTGTCCAACACTCTTGTGGTTTGTGGGTTGTTTTAGTTTCTTTTTTATTATTATTTTTACCGTTTGTTTGTAAGACAAGGTTTTTCTCTGCGTAGTCCTAGCTGTCATGGAACTTGCTGGCCTCGAGCTCACAGAGATCCATCTGCCTCTGCCTCCTGAGTGTTGGGATTAAAGGTGTGCTCCACCCCCCAGACAGCATGAACAAATGAAATCACTTGGCCTGGGCTGTGCAGCTATGGAGTCAGGGAGTTGGGGAGCAGGACTCCAACAAATCTGCAGGTTCCATGCACTAAGCATTAACTTTCACTTTCCCTAACCCTGACACAGTTTCCTGAAAGAATAGGTGTTCACCTATATGGATATTCTTTTAAATTTCTAGAGAACTCTATGTATACAATGAAATACGATCATATCTTCCCCGATGCCCTCATACCTTCCCTTCCACCCAACTTCATCTCTCTTTCTGTTGTTTGTTTCTTTTTATATGGTTAACCTACTAAGTCCAGTTAGTACTACTCACATGTGCACAGGTTTAGGGAAACCTACCAGTGGCTACATTCTCAATGAAGACTGATTCTCCCTCTGCCAACTGTAACTGCTATTAGCAATGCAACATGGGATAGGACCTAGAGATGATCTACCCCATCCTCACTGGACTGCAGCTGGCTTGATCATACCCAGTCTTACGAAGCTAACCACAGCTGCTACCAGCTTACATTTTGAGAGCCACAATTAAGAGTTATTGTATTTCCTCTCTCCCCACCTCTGTAACCTTCCTTCCCTGATGTGGCACTGTCACTCTATTTTTGTTTGTTTTTGGTTTTTCAAGACAGAGTTTCTCTGTGTAGCTTTGGAGGCTGTCC